CCTTAAAATACTCCCCCATCTTTGAATATACTTATCCCACTTTTCTTGCTACTTTCTGAAGCAGTTCTGGAAGTTCACTTCTATGACTGTCCAGTTGTGTTTCACGGATGCCACAAAGTCCTGAATGGACGCAAAACATTTACGGAAATTTCCATCAAATAAAAACATTACAGTGTGTCCTCATTCTACATCCACTTTTTCACCAGATCTGGCATCGTGTGGATTCTGGCTCTTCTCCAAAGGTAAACATTAAGAATCAATTTAAGACATCGAGGCAATTTAAGACAATAATCTAAGAATCATTTAAGACATAACAGCGCAACTAAAGAAACACATGAAAGAGGACTTCCAGAAGTGCTTCACAAAGTGGTAAAAATTAAAGGATAAGAGTGATCAAAGTGAGAGGAACTATTCTGAGGGGGACTAATGCTAATGTTTCAGTGTAATAATTTTTTAAAAAATTAAACACTGACTATATTTTTGGTCCACATCTCATACTTTTGGAAACATGGAGTAAATTTAAGGAGAAACAAAAAGGTTTCAATGTCAACAATTTTAAAACACTTTGTTTAAAATTCAAATAAAATGTATGATCCCACTTGGTGACTGATTCTATAAAGGTACAAAGTCTTATGAGAAAAACTGCCACTAGCCCTTCATGATTGTGAAGGCTTGAGATAAGGAACAGCCAAGCATAAAACATTGGAAAACTCCAGGTCTCCTGGACCTGACTGCAGAATACAGTTAAAATAGTTTTACATTCAGGTGCAAAGATAAAACATGTAAAGCCCTGTGAGAAGCAGGCTACCGTATACTCCCAAATCCTGACTGTCCATCCGTCAAGCTGTAACACTGACCCACCTAATAGGCTGAGGCCTGGTGGAACTAAAGCGAGAGAAGGGATGTCGGTGGTGCAAGCCCAGTGTGCCTGGTGTGGGGGCGTCCTCTGCTGCTGCCGTCACCTGCAGACATCAGCCTCCAGCTTTTTCAGCCTCCCAATGCGGACTTGTACCAATGGCTCTTTGGGAGGTTTGAGGCCTTGGATGCGGGCTACATATTTGCTCCCTCTTGTTATGAGGCTGTCAGCTTCATGGACTGAGCAGCTACTGGCTTCTCCGGATTTCTAGAGTGTAGAAGACCATTGTGAGGCTCCCCTCCTCTGACCAGGAGCTAACCTACTAAATCCCCTTTTGTAATTATGTGCCCTACTGGTTCTGTTCCTCTAGAGAGCCAGGATGTACAGAAGCCTACACTTCCTACCCGATCCTACACTACAGCCAATCTCTGATTCTCGGTGTGGGAAGGACGAGACCACCCGTCACGACTTCTGCAGGGCATGTGTTGCGCCACCGGCTGAGGAAGCGCTGTATGAGGGTGTTAGCACCAGCCTTCTGTTTCCACCAGAGTCAAGTTTGTCATTGTGTCTTTTTGTTTTTTTGTTTAAACGTGAAGCCTGGTGTGATAGTGCATGCCTGTAAAGCCAGTACTTGGAAGGCTGAGGCAGGAAGATCACCCCAAGTTTGAGGACAGTCAGCACCACAAAGTGAGTTCAAGGCTAGCTTGAACTGCATCGTGAGATGGTGTTTCAAAAAACAAAACTAACGAAACTAAAAGGTGAGTTTCTATCTTTTCATTTTAAAGAAAAAAATTTACTACTTTGTTTCTTCCATTTATATGTATATATTTTAAAGCAGGATTAATTCTAATTTTTTCTATATGGATGTATGAAATCTTATTGTAGTACTATGCTTTATAATCAGCACAGGAAAAGATTTTTTTTTTACATCACCATTTTCAATCCTTTTCCCTTATGCTAATGTCAATGAAAATTTTTTTTTTGGTTTTTTTCTCCGGTACCGGGAACCGAACTCACGACCTTGCACTTGCCAGGCAGGCGCTTTTGCCGCTGAGCTAAATCCCCAGCCCCTGTCAATGAAAATTTTAAAAATGTAATCTTTATAAAGTACAGATAATCTTCCCTCTCTTAATGGTCCCACTGTAATACTTCTTGTCCCAGATGGGAGACCTTTACTAACTGCATATGCAATCCTAAACATTAAACTGTATAATACAGATGCTGTTATAATGCAATGAAACCAAGTAATCTAGAAGATCCCAAGCCAAAACTCCACTCTGTGGCCCCTGAAATGTGCAGATAAGTGGTAAGAAAGCCAATACTGTCATTAGGTCTTGAACCAGTCAGTTATCTTTTGGAGACAATGTCAACTCCATCTAAATTATCTGAATGAATCAGGGCAAGGCAAATACAACAGGCAGTTCCCCGTGATGATTTGCTGATTACTGGCCATGCACGGCCAGCTGTTTATTTCATATTGTAGATGACCAAGGCATGTTCCTTGTCTGAAACTGCCTCCAAGCGCAGGAGAAATTTAGTGACCCCAATCCTTACATTTTTTTCATAAAGCAATTTTTCTCTCACCTTCTCATCACCAGAGTTGATCCAGTGAGCTCTATTTATTTTCAGTAAAAATACAGTTACAGGCCATTTCTTAGGAAAATAACCTCCCTAGTACCTTTTTTTAACCCTTCTGTTCATTTATTTCTTTATCATTAAACCCAAAAACACAAGCCCCAATGTGGAGAGAGACTCAAAGCATGTCCTAAGGGATATCCACCCAAAAATCTGGAACCAAAAGGACACCACCTTCCTTTTGACAAGGAGAAAGACAGAAGTGAAGACTGCTGGAGGAAAGCTTTTGGGGAGCAGTGTATTTACTGTCTATGTTAATTATATCACTGCTATGTTTATTTTGTTCTGGGGTAAGTTTGCTGTAACATTTAAAGGTTATGTTACACATAGAATTTAGTTGGCTTTGACTTTTCTGCTAACCTTAATATTTGGATTTTCTTTTTCTTTTCTGTCTCTCCTCTCTGTCCTTATTTAAGGAAGGACAATGCACCCATATTGCCTAAGTGGCGTTCATAATTCCTCTAAAGAAATATGCACTCCCTTTTTCCTCTAGCCTGTACATATAGTTCTACCAAGACATATATATGCAAGATATGCAAACAAATCATCTGATTGCTAGACAGAAAAACTACTCACTCCTCAGGGTTTCATTTACAACTGCAGACTTCTTTTCTCCAGCACTTAATGCATTTGGGCAGGTAGAAGGTGATCCTGGTAGGTGTGAAGGGGATTTAAAAGAGCTTTATAGGACAATTACCTCTGTAGGATGGTCAGAATAGAATACAACTATATCAAGGAAGATGTAATAAGTGGAGGAAAATCTTAATTTAGACCTACTCAAAGTAGGAGTTAGAATAAGTGAGAGAAATGCAAGAAAGTGATGTGTGTAGATGTAGATTAGTTTATTCCGGTTAATGTCTTGGAATATTGAGGAATGTCAGTTTTAGAAAGTGTGCTATGCACATGCAGAAGTTACAGAAATGTCTACACGGATGCTCAGTGTATGAGATAAAACACTGCACATAGTGTCACATAAAGAATCAGCATCCGTATTTCAGGTTCCAGTGGGAATGAGGGAACCTTAGATCTGCTAAGCTGTGATGGTAAAGCCCTGTCCCAGGAGCAGGATAATCATTTGCACCAAGACTAAGACTTCCTAAAAAGCAAAGTACATGGCATTTAGAGAGGACACTGCAGGGGAAGAAAAAACCTCCCTTCCTCCTGGCACCTTCCTAATCCCACTTAATGGCTCACCAATAGGGTGATATATATACAACCATCTCCATGTTAAGAACTGGGACCCCTGGGAACCAGCATTGTTGCTGTCTTACTCATGGATGGAAATCTATCTACACGCAGCAATCTCCCTACCACAGGACTGGGAAAGGTAGAGGGCTATACTATATACTGCTTTCTTTCCCAGCCTCCTAGAAGGCTTTGTCAGGACTTTGGAGAATGACATTCTCTTATCTATAGAAAATCACAGTGCTCCACTACTAGATCATAGTGTGAAACTTCTTAAACATACAAGCACAGAGTAGCATATACAAAGGCCCACACCAAGACAGAGCAGGAGACTGGGGAAGGCACGGGGTCTCAGATAAACCACGCCCTTTGTCCTCAGACAGCTGGGCTCAGTTGCTGGTATACAGATATATAATAAAGGGTAACCAGTTTGTAGCATGAAAGGTTATTTACTTGTATTTTCTCCACTATTCCTTGCCTTCTTAAATATAATTCTTCATTCTACCCAAATTTTCTACGTGACTAAATATTTCTAGCATCTATCCCACTGCCACGGACCCAGGAGCAGAAGCATGGTGGGTGAGAGTTCCAGAGCCAGATCCAGACCTGGGTGAAACACTAGTCTATTCACTTACTGGCTGCTCCAGTAAGCTCTGTCTATACTTATTAATTACTTATTAATGTGCATATTAGTTACTGTAGATGGGAACGATAATAGAATCTATTTAGAGTGTCACTGGGCTACTGAGAGAATTAAAAGAAGTCATCCACACATAGGGGCTAGACTAGTGCCTGGCGAATCAACGTGCAAAAGTACAATTCATCACAATGATCACCCTTCCTACCACTACAACTACTTAGTATTTTATATGATTATTTCTAAAACAAAATGAGAAAGCACTTTTGTGTGATTAATTTGACATACTAGGGAAATTTAACCTGAAGTTTTTAGCCATCATTTCTTTTCCCCCTGCAACAGATTCTCTAGACATTAACTTCCACATGCAGAAATGAATAATTTGTATAAAACACAAATGGGCAATGGGCCGGCTCACGCCTGTAAACCCAGCACTTGGGAGGCTGAGGCAGGAGGATCGATTGCTGCAAGTTCGAGACCAGCCTGGGCTACAAGGTGAGCTCAAGGCCAGCCTGAACTGCATCGTGAGACCCTGTCTCAAAAAGACAGAAAAACAAACAAAAAACCAAAAAAAACACAAATGCACAATGGAAGAGGTTTGTCTTGTATGGTGGACTTTTGCTTTTTTTTTTTTTTTTTTTTTTTTTTTTTTTTTTGGTTTTTCTCCGGTACTGGGAACTGAACTCACGACCTTGTGCTTGCCAGGCAGGCGCTTTTGCCGCTGAGCTAAATCCCCAGCACTGACTTTTGCATATTATGATGACAGCAGGAACCAATTTTAAATCTCATTAAACCTAGAGTACAGTGTGAACTATCATGGGTTATATTACAAAATAAAATGAGTTCAGTTTCAAGAGGTCTTTCTTATACTCTGTAAATATAATTTAAAAATATGTTTCAATTTAAGAGCTTACTGGATCTTAAATATATCCCAAAGGTGAAGTGAAAAGGCTTATTCAATAGAGTGCCACTACTGGGAGGTGGTGGAGTCTTTAAGAGGCGGAGTTAGTGGAGGTCCTTCCAGTCACTGGTTGGGTGCATCCAAGGGGACTGTGGGATATCCCCGCAAGCCCTTCCTCTTCCTGTCTTTTGCTTTCTGGCCATAAGGAGAGTGGTTTTGCTCTTGTGCTTCCCATCATGATAAGCTAGCTTGCCAGGGATCCCCGAGCAATGGGTCAAGTGATCTTGGATTGGAATCTCCAAAACTGTGGGCTAAAATAAACATCTTTTTCTTGTAAGTTTATTACTTCAGATACTTGTTATTATGCTGAAAAACTAACAAAAATCAACAAATACAGGAATTTACACCACAAATACCGTAACTGTTTAGATCTACATTCAGTCATTTCCTAGAAACAAGTACACTTCACAATATTAGGCAAGAATTACCTAAAATGACAGAAATGCATCACAAAGGCATCAAAGGATATTTTTTAACTAATTTGTAAAGTTAAAATATGTAATAAAAATAATTTTTCCTATTTCTTGCTCCACTCTACCATTAGAATGCATATATAAAAGTGCATATTTAAGTACTGAAAACATCTACTATTTCTACAGGAATATTATTATTTGTTGGCCAAATTAATACATTCTAATTTGCCTCAGGAAAATTCAATTGCATGACAATCAGGCTAAATTTGTTTTTAACATTTTTCTTCTACTTATTAGTGCAGCCATGCAAAAGAAAGTGCATATTCAAAGTCTTTTTGTTTATCATTTACTTGTTTATTAATTTATTTGGGTATTAAACCTTGTTTTCATAAGAATTCTTCATGTGGAAATGACTGGCCTTTATAATTCTAACCCCAGAGTTTGTTGTTCCTTCTTAATGAGGAAATAAACTCTTAAGTTACACAACACAGCAAGTAATGAAAGCTTCTGATTAAACAAGGAGAATTAAAAAAACAGGATAATTTGCTTTATATAAATAGAAAGACTGCTAAATATTTCAACATTGTAAAAACATTTAACACTTGAAGTGTTTTTAGTAGGCTTTAGTCCTAAAGGTCATTAAAAGTATTAGTGCATATATATATCATGTATGTAAATAAAAGACCCCTTATAGGACTCACCAATAAGATGTCAGATAAACTTTTACTCTGCCTATCTGCTGCATAAGAAATTGCAGACTGAGGAAGACTACAATCGTACCAGATTCCCCCAAAACTATAAACACTGTAAATTAGAGAAAATGTGACTTAGGCTATCTAACTTTCAGTCATATATAAGTGACCTAAATTGAGACAAACCCCTTTTAATAGTACAGTTTATATTAAGAGTGGGCTCTAAAAGTCTCAAATCAACAAGAAAATCATTATCTGAACATAACTGAGAAAGAGATTTAATGTTTTCTTTATCTAGTTAAAACCAAAACCCAGTTTGCATTTTAAAAATATCGTAAGATGGAGGATTCTAGGTGAATTCAGTCAAGTAATTACAACTACGTTGTATGTACTTCCAGACACTGACAGCACATATACTACTTTTCTATTGCTGCTTCTCCATAAGCTAACAACAAGGATGGCAGGGCTGTACTCTTCTTTGGAGGTTCTACAATAATCTCTTTTCCTTTCTCTTTCCAGCATCTCCAGGCAACCTGTATTTCTAAGATCGTGACCTTCTTCTTCCATCTTCAAAGCTAGCAGCTAACATCTTGCAAATCTCTTTCGAGGCTGACACTTCTGCCTTCCTTTTCCACTTTGAAAGACTCTTATGACTACATGGCGACTATCAGGACAATCTCCTTAATTTAAGGTCAGCTGACTTCCAACAACTTAACATATTCACAGGTTTCAGGGACTGCAATGGGGGCATCTTTCGGTGGGTGGCATTATTCTGTCTCAGATTTATATGCACACCTGTATTATTCAGTTCAAATCAATATTTACCAGAGTTAATGAAAGTCCTATAATACCACTTTCGTTATTTAGAATAAAATGTAAACATTTTTTAAAGGTTTAAAATTTGAATTGGATCATCATTATCTGCTTTCAATGAAGACATGGAAATTTGCCCAGTCTGACTCCTTTAAATTCATGCTTGTATAAACTGGACATCAACCAACTAATGTGATAACTTGTCCTCAAATTCAACATAACTCAATACACATAAACAAAAGTATTAAACTCTTATAAGACAGTGTGACATTATATTCCTTATTATATTTGTTAAATGTTATTGAAACATTTTTTAATCTAAGGATACATTTCAAATTACAAGAAAATATTCATAAGAAAATACTATTCCACTAACACCGACTTAACACAAAAATTTTTCCAAGAGAATGATATCAGAAGAATAGTTTTCAGCATTGGCGTGAGTTTTGGAGATACCATGCCTGGTTTTAGGCATGACATAAAAGAAAGTGGGCACGGAGCTCTCTACCCAGTCTGCCTGATGTCACACTGCTCATGTGAAACATTGCTGTCTTCTGATTAAGTGTGCACCATCACAGTTATGACACTGCACTCCTTACACACAAAAAGGGTCAAATATGATTCATCAATGTATCACACTGTAAATCAACACATTTACCAATTACACTTCAAGAGGCTGCAGAAGTAGTAATTTATCATTCTGACTTGTGATGATATATATATTAAGCCAAGAATCCAATCCTACTCATATGATATGTACATTATACAAAATTTATAAACTGTCACATAAGAAACAGGCACAAAGGAGGAGCTAAATTGACAATAAAATAAAGTATGATGAGTCTAAACTAATAATGTAGATAAAAGTTCCCAAAGATGAAAAAAATTCAATTAATGACTAATATCATTCTGATTTTTAAACTGATTCATCACAGACTGACAAATATCACTGATTTTTAAACTAATACATAATATATGATATACAAGAGTATATATATAGAGAGAGAGAGAAAGAGAGACAGAGGGACAGAGAGAGAGAGAAAGAACGAGAGAGAGAGAGAGAGAGAGAGAGAGAGAGAGAGAGTGAGAGAGAAAGAGAGAGAGAGAGTTTCTTCCAGGTAATAAGATTGAATTCCATTTTTTAAAGTTATAGGAGAAGCTTGTTGAGTTGTCAATAAAACTTTATTTTCTTGGTACCTTAAATGAGAATTAAAACTTACTTACTTGATGTAATAGGGCACTTTATTATGTGAGATGGATCTTTGCCATGGCAGCTGGACTGAAGCTGTGGAAACGAAGGGAGAGTATTGGAAGAACTGGTAACTCAAAAGCCTTACACCTTAATGCAAAACAACTGGACACATTTTATAGCAAATCCAATGAGAACTGCTCTGGATTTTGAGCTGGACTCCAATAATTATGAAATGCATGAGGCCAAACAGCACGGCTTTAAATATTCATTGAAAGGTAGGGAAAAAACAACACAGGTTCAATTTCTAAGCCAATTGTAACAAACTGAACCCGTTGATAAAAGTATTTCTAAAAGTCCAGTTTTATTATTTTTAAGCACTACAATTTAAAACTTTGTGCCATGTGGAAATGTACTCTGTATGTATTTTATATCCAGATTTTTAAAAATTACATTTCTTAAAACTGGATTTTCCAGATCACTAATAATATTCTTTACTTGGCATCACATTCACAAGGAATAGCTATCGAGTACAGACGGCATTTATATGAATCCAGTTATGTGAAATTAAAACAGAAAAAATAAAAATAGAGAAAAGCAGTTTAAGTTTAAAGAACTAAAGCATTCATCTGGGACAAAGAATCCCAGATATTTACTTTCATTTGTGGTACACACAAAGTAGTTTCACACTTTGTGGCAGAAATAACTATGATTGAGATTTTACTTTTTTAAATTGAGGTATGCATTTTTTACAAATCTAGTCACTTTTTTTTTAAAGTGCTGCTTATTCATTAAACCATTTATTTTAAACTTATTTCAGAATAGTTGCACAAATGAATCTAGAGCTGGGAAAGAATGTTGCTAAAAACTCATCACTAGATGCAAATAAAACATTGCAAATATCACTAGACCTTCATGTAGTCGGTTGTCACTAATGACTTTTTTCCGAATCCCATGTTATGTTGGTATCTTACAAATGCAAAGCATTCTAAACTACACCAAGCATTTCAGACATATCTGTTGCTTCCAGGACAAGCCAGCAGGACACACACATTAAAGGTCCATTTGATAGATAAGGAACTAAATACACAGAGATAAATTCCCAAAGAGCGACAGCTAGTAAATAGATGTTAGAGCTCGGATGTGACCTTGGGTCTGGTGGATACTAGTTCAGCAAGTTTCCTAGTCAACAATTCTCCCCCTCTTTATGAAATGCAAGCACTCCTTTCTCCAACTGGGTCAAAGAAGGTATTAAAAAAAAAAGATGAAAATAAGCAACTAGATATATTAAATTTCTCATCACAGCCAACCTCATTTCAGCACTGGCACCGGAGTACTAGGTCAGTTTTTTTTAGTGCCTAACTAGACAGGCTTCTTTCATAACCATTGCTACAGTCCAAGAAACATAATAAAGCCAAAGCTTCTAAGCAGCAATTAATATATTTACTAATTGGGATTTTTGTTTACACTTCTCCATTCATTTTAATAATTCTTTTGATTTGAATAACTTTGACCTCCTTGGACAGCCAGTGCTAGACAATAAAAGGCTATGTGTTTCAACTTCACAAAGTGGAAGTGAATTTCACAATATTTCATGTCTTCAAGAGCACAAGTCAGGTTTCTATGGTGAAAGAATGGTTGGTAAGTGAAAAGGAGGCTTTTCATCAATATTAACAGATGATCTTTAAAACTGTAAGGAGAATCTCAAATATTTTAAAGCTCCTCTTCACTTTGCTCTTAATACATAGTTTCATGTTCTGCTAAATTAAGAAATTTAGAGTAATTCATACCTAATGAGTGTACTGAAAACCAATGTACTTCATCAACACGGATGGTATCTCAACCTTAAAATTATCCTGGGAGCTGGGTGTGGTGACATACATCTGTAACCTCAACGTTCTGGGAGGCTGAGGCAAGGGGATCGAAAGTTTGAGTCCAACCTGAGCAGTTTAATGACTTGATGAGACCTTGTCTCAAATTAAAACATAAAGAGTGTTGGGGACATAGCTCAGTGCAAAGGTCTGAGGTTCAGTCTCCAGTAACAGAATCAATTAATCCATCAACCACTGAAAACAATGTGTCCTGGTCAGTTAAAGAGCAACTGAGGAAGGACTACGTCTTTCAAAGAAAGATTACCTTAGGGTTCAGGTTTGGGAAACTGAATGGGGCGGGAGGGAGGGGAATATGTGTGTGATTGATTAGGACTTCTGAAATTACAAAAGGAAAACCTGACTTTTAATTCAGGTAAAGCAGTTTATCAAGAGTTACAAAAAGATTAAGAGAAAGTACAAACACAATCAGTTTAGCTAGGAGATACGGCTTTATGCTTCAGTTTTCCCTAAGGCTGTAGACTCAATGAAGCTGTCATAACTGAGAAGTACAGTTTGGCTTAAGTTTTATTTTTTTTTTTTTGGCTTAAGTTTTAAACTTTACTGAAATTGAATTAAACACATTGCTTTTTTACCTATATTTGCCAAAGGAAATGAAAGGAAAAGAATTAATATTTACTTAAAGCTTTTGTGCCAAGAACGGGGCTAGGTGCTTTGTGTAAGTTGATACACTTTTCATTTAATTTTCAAGGCAATCAGAGGAAATAGGTTTTATGGTATTTTAAGACAAATTAACTTTCAGAAATTCATAGATGTGGTAAGAGGCACAATGAATATTTAAACTCAATCTTGGTGGCTCTAAATCCTACGTTCTTTAGTGTCCTTGGCCATGAATAATAAATACAATAGGAGTTCTGATTATTTATTCAAGGTCTCATGAACCATACATAACACTAAAAATTCCAGCTGGAGAATGTGTGCTTTGACTAGGTACGCAAAACTTGTCCACAAGAAAAGCTCAGTATCCGAGTGAGCCTAATGAGCTAAAATCTTCTCATTTAAAGATTTATGGAGAATTTTTTTAACTTTAAAAGCTGCAGGTGCACTTTAAACTAATAAGCACTTTTTATGGAGAAAACATAATTTAAAATATTAAAATATGAAAATGACATTTTTTTGCATGAAAAAGTTAACCTTTGCATATGACAAAACAATGAGGATATAGCACAGTGGATTTAACAAATGGTCAAATAAAAAAGCTGTATCTAAAGATAAATTCATTTCTGTTGCCTTTCCAGATTTATCAATAGTTGTCATACTCTAACAAATAAGCAACAGACAACATTTTCATTAATGTTAATACCTTCTCTTATAGATTTATCTATTATAAGTACCTGTATTTATAGCACAGACTTGCTGAGTGAAAGTGAATATACTAAGTGAAAGAATATCACCAATACAAATCAGTGACATTGGTCAAGCTTACAGGTACTTACTAGACAGAAAATGCTGGGATGATGGTCCAAAATCTCTACGAGCTTCTTCAAGCTGTTTAAGACGATCATCCACAGAAACCTGCACATATGTGGACAAGACAGATGTAATAATTTTAAGACAATGACTTTAATAATATCTTTGATTGCTGGGGATTTAGCTCAGCGGCACAGCACCTGCCTGGCAAGCGCGAGGTCGTGAGTTCAATTCCCAGTACCAGAAAAAAAAAAAAAAAAATCTTTGATTTAGGTATTACAATAAATGATGGTATCGCCTAAGATATTACTGCTTGGATAGACTCTTCTATTACTAGCATCAAAGTCAAAGTGTGAAATCAACTTCTGAAACTCAGTAAGAATACGTAATGTCAGACACTTCTAAGCAGTTTATATAAATTAACTCTTTTAATACTCATGGTAACTGCATTGGCTTAGTATTATTATTGTTTCTGTTTTACAGACAAAGAAACTGAGACACAAAGAGATTCCCAAGGCCATACAGCTAGTAGGTAGCAGCACTAGTATTCATATCCTGGTTGTCTGGTGACAGAATCTATTACACTGTTACACTACTTCCTGTAGGTCAATTTGCTGTTTCTAAAGCACCTTATTCCATGTCTAGAAGTGCTCCAGAAAGCAAATGAAAAGAAGCCTCGAATATTCCAGGGGCTAAAAATAGATGGTTGGATAAACAGGTAGGCAGATAGGTAGATGGATGGATGGATGGATGGATGGATAGACAGACACACAGACAGACACAAATGATAAGAGAGAAAATAGACAAGACAAGTGAGGATGGAAAATCATTTTATTCTGAGTTTGCCTTGATCATCTCTGCTTATTGAGATATGCATCTCAGTGGACACCAGTAGATGAATACCATTAATATTTATTTGCACACATCTTACGGTTAGCTCTCCATATTATAAAAATGCAAAGTGCTGTTAAACTGTGAAACTGAGTGCAAATCAGTAACAACTGCACAAGGCCACTGACATTTCCATCTATTCCCCCGGTCTCTGCCTATGCAATGCTAGTCAGCTGATCTGTTTAGACTGACAAGCTTATTTTCAGCTGCCTTGTAATGAAATTTCTGTGTCTGGCTCACTGGGCAGCTCTAGTTTCTCCTGGTTAGCAACTGAAATTACATTAGAATGTACTTATTCATTTAGACAAAAAAAAAAATCCAAACGCCACACTTTCTGCTTATTGAGTAAAGACAGTGCTATTCCTGAAATTTAACCATTTCCCGTTAGCAGAGATTTTTCTTATCTAACCTAAAGTTACCAGGACCATAGGTAAGAATGACAGAATGGATGCTCCTCCTTCAATCTTTGGAGAGAGTGATCACAGAAATTCTAAATGTGAGAGATAGTGATAAGAGAAACGGAATGGGAAGTAAACCAGGAAGGAGCACAGGAATCCTCACCCAATAATGAATCAGAGAAATGGAGCAGAAGAAAAAAAGAATAAAGGTCAAACATTTCTAGGTGCACAAGTGAATTTAATAGATTTTATTTTATTAATCTCAGATTATTAATACTCTTTGCAGAGAGAAATACTGTCACATACTGCATACTCATTTCTTACCTCCTTAATTTCACCAAGAAAATATGAGCCATTGGGTGTTTTAATATCTGAATTAATACACAAAATGGGCTACATTGAAACTGCATATTTATCTTATCAAGTATTATATTTTAGACCCAACCTGTAAAGAAAATAGTAAGACTTCTTTTACTCTCAAAATTCTACAGAAATTAATCTGTTAATTTTCAGGGGAAATGCAATTACTCTGGCTCACAGGAACGGGCCACCGAATATGACAAAGCTCCAAAAATTGTGCCATAAACCCTCGCTTGGCTGGCACAATGGCTGGCAAGTGCTGGCACCCACGAATGCAGAAAGCTGCCTGTGTTTTAGACCTATGAAACTTACAAGGAGCAAGTAAGATCTAGAGCCATTCTTAACACTGAGCAATATGCTGTCTGGAAAAAAACAAAAACAAAAACGGCAAAATACCTAAAGAGCAACCAGTGAACTTTCATTGCTTCTCAAAAGAAAAAACTACATAACTCAGGTATGAAAAACGACTCCTCGATGAGCTGTTATGGAAAAAGTGTTTCTGTGACACACTGTAGGTTCCAATTATTGTGATTTATTTGATCTTATATAATTTTATATATTTATCATATAAAACTAAAAATTACATTAAAACCTATATTCATAAATAAATGAGGCCGTTGGGTTCAAAATACCAAAAGACAAATACCTGATGTCTTCACTTGCTGTACTCATTATCCAAAGCAATCAATAAACAATCAAAATGATGCTGGAAGGTAGGGTTTACAGACAATCCACGATGTGAGCCTGCCTTACAAAGGAGAACAAGCCAATACCTGGAGAAGTTTCCATCGCATATTAAGGTCATCTAGCTGGCGAGACATCTTTAGAGATGGGTGCAGGTCCAGTGGAGAGAGCTGGCTGGACAGATCATTCACCGCTTTAACTTTTAAGTTGATTGGTTCAATTTCTTCTCCAAATCCCTAGGAAAAAAACAGACAAAACAATATATATGTGATGGGAAAGAATGTAACAAAAGTAGTATTTCAAACTCTCTGACAAAGACAAGGGCAAGGCCAGCTCAAGGGCCACTGAGTAGCACTGCCCACATCACAGCAGCTGACTTAACCAGGTCTTTAGTAACTTGGAGGACTAGCCAGCCACCTTCATGACTACAGTATCTGCATATGTGTGCAAGGAGAAAAGTTATAATGCAGATATCATTGATGCTGTTGTGTATTTCCTTCACAGTGCACTATCTGCAAATTAGTCTAGGAAAAGTGTGCTGTTATTTTCCACTTTACTGATTAGTAGTCTTGATTCTCATTTTCTTTCATATTTTGTCTTTACTATTTTAACAGTTACCTTCATACTTGTTTCACTTGATGCAACAACTTGATTTGAACATATTTCCACTTAAAATTTAGATAGAAGGTGGCCAGTGGAAACAGCGCTCCTAACCACAAAGCTATGGCTGCTCTCCACTGGAGAGGGAAGCGCTGTCCCTTTCACAACCACTGATCACTGTCAGGGAGGAGGCGGAGTACTGCAGGAGCAGAGCTTAGAGAAAAGAGCTAAGTGAGCCTTAGGAACAACAAATGCCATCTGTGAGCACAGTGCAGAGAGCTAGTAAGAGAGGGAAGTCGGAGACGTTCGTAAAGAGGAGGGATAAATACTTTAGCTCAGTAACACTTCCATGAGAGCAAAGAGAACGATGACAACACTCATGACCCTCCATCCTCCGTGTTCCTCCACCTGTCTCTATTTTTATGCTCCCATTTCCTGACAAAGCTTATGTCGAGATGCTATGGATTTTTTCAAAGACTCAACTTGGGTCTCCTTCCCCTCAGGAAGGCTTCCCTCAGGCCTCTTCCTCTACAGCACTGGCTACGAGGCCCTTTCCTGTGCCCTTCAGATATTCTCTATGGTCTCTCCCACTCAGCCAAGACTTTCAGCCAGCACACATTGAACATACAAGTCCTGGGGCTGGGGATTTAGCTCAGAGGCAAAGCGCCTGCCTGGCAAGCGCAAGGTCGTGAGTTCGGTTCCTGGTACCAAAGAAAAACAAAAAAAAAAAAAAAAAAACAAACAAAAAAAAAGAACATACAAGTCCTGTGTTAGGGCGGGGCCATTCTGATCGCTTGGAGCCACGCCAAACCAGCTGTTGTACTTGAAGCATCAGACCGTATCAGACTACTTGGTACTTGGTGTTATGAGCACCCATATTCTTCTTGTGCCCCAAAAAAAAATGGAAGTTTGTTGGGAACACTCTCCCGTGCTCAGCACAAGGTTTGCCATATAAAAGAGACAGAATTCATTTCTACTGACAAAGGCCCACAAAAATATTTGAGACAAGATTAAACCAATATAAATGGTGACAAGAGTTGAAATACTAAGATATAACAGTATATTTTAAATTCTTAAGTATGACACAAAATTACAGTTAATCATGTGCCAAATTTAACATTCAAATGGCAGGTATTACACATCCTATTAGGATTCACCTCAGATTTTATCATTCTTACATTTCCATCTCCTTTAGAGATGGAGTATGTACTATCTATGAGCCCCTTTCTTTGACCATTCTAAGTTTAATAAAATAATATATATCAAAATGTTCTGAAAAATACAAAGATCCCATAATACTACAGGATTAATTAAAACTTCTTCATGATGCTTATAAAAGGAAGTATTTATCAGCCACTTTCCACTTCCCTTCTCTCTCCTAAATTTTTCCAGATACCTTGTGTAACTTCCCTTCTATAGCTCGGGGAACATGGCAAGATAAGCTACCCCAACACATGCTGCTACTGCACAAGGATTACTCTGAGTTACAACACGTAAAATGTTAGCAGGTACAAAAAGCGTACTCCGCCTTCCAATGTTTCTTTCTGAAAGTAGGAGATAAAACCTCCACATAAAAAATGTCTTTCCTGCACCAGGAGGAAAATAGCCTTTTTATCATCAATGATGGGAGATTAAAATGAACAAAGTTCTGTATAGGCTTTGTTAAAATAATTATCTTCTTTTAGTCTCTCCACATAATTGGGTTAATTTTCTAAAATTGTCTCTCTTTGTTCTATCTAATATGAAATTATTTAATTTCTAATATGAAATTATTTAAGTTTTGCCTCTTCTCTGGGACTTCACGGATTCCCATCTTAAATAAAAACTGATGTGAATGAAATGTGTATGCATTTCTCCTCTTAGCCTATTGGAAGGCAGTTAAATGTTCAGGTCCAGATGAAAAACCTCTTAAGAAGGCAGAGGTAAAACTTTCTCTGGAAGTTTTAGGGTAAGGAAAGAGAACCTCTCTGCAGCACATATGGAAGCTAAAAGCTATCATTATGGTCGAGAAGCCTCAAAATAATGTTAAGGAACCAACTTTATTATCAAAGGGAAAATATTTAAGGTATATTGGACAATATGCTTTAGTGTTTCAAAATTCTTAAAAATGCCCAAAAGCCACAGGAAGAAATCCAGGGTACAGGTGACCAGAAAATAACAGAACAGATTTGCAGCCTGAATCAGTGTGAGAAACAGAGACATCGGAAGTAGCACTGTATGAATGACATTTGAAACAACGAACATGGAAGTCAACACGCAGAAAGTGAGAACTATTGCCCCAACTCTGTGGACACGAATATATCAAAAGCCGGGAGAAGGCAAGCTCAGAAAGGAATGTGAACGGCTGCTGCATGGAAGGAGAAGGAATTGAAATTTGTGCTAGTTTCTCTTCATTCCTGCAGACGGTGGCTTTCTGGACAACAGAAAGTGCACACACAATTATATGCACAGATACAGTTAAAGAAAAAAAGCAGCTGTGTGGTAACAGAGGCTGTTTTAGAGGGACAAAGGATTAACTATTAGTGTAGGAGGGAAGTGTGGTTTAGGGTAAGGAGAGAGAACCTCTCAGTCCAGTCTTGAAAGAAGCGTGGGTCCTTCAGACTGTTTTAGAAGAATTTACAGAACTCACATCTTTCAAGGTTTCTCCACTCATGGTTTTAACTTTTTATATTAGTATTTTCTCTATGGTCATAGGCAGGACCTTAAATTCTTAATGAAGAATAAATGAGCTTACATTTTTCCACTACAAAAACAATGTTTTTCTATTATACGCCACAGGTGAAAACATTAAAAGAGCTTTGACAGGCAAGGCCTTTGGGGCTTTGTTTGTATTTATATGGTCAGGTGTGTTGTGGCAATGAGAAATCTTTCTATCAAGAAAGTTTATCTTTGGTTTTTTAAGAGCTTCCGAACGTAGGGGCTTGCGATAAAGCAAACTTTAAATGGTTTCAGAACTGCCATGTGTTCCAGTATAAAGAACCAATTTATCATGTTTTGACTGCACTTTTCTTTAAGAGGATGAGAGTCTATGTGGCCCTCCCTGCTATAAAAGCAGAAACATCTGTTAGTATCAAAGCTGCTAACTGCAGACTATTGGCACGTGCGAATCTCAGACCTGTCTCCTGCCTGAAGGTGTGTAATCTGCAAATAAGAATGATCACAGATAATTTTAGGGAGTTGAAATTAGTCGATTACTCCCCAAGATTTTATTTTCCAGTTGCTTTGACATTTCATAATGTTTAGCAATAACTAGTACTTAATTTTTCCTACCAATAGCTTCGTTAGGATTTGGGGTCTACTTTACAGCACCTGTAAAACAGTCCGGAGTTTAAATTTATCTTATTTGACTTAATGAGACTTGGGTTTCTATTTTCTCTTTTCCGAATAAGATATTAAGATATTTTAATCCACAGTTTATTTCTTCCAATTAAAATATTAATTTTATTTTTTTCTAGATTTCCACTTAAGCAGAGATTTGAACAAAAGGATTTGGATGCAGAGACAGGTCATTCCTTTAATCAAATGAGATGAACAACTCTCAGATTTGGAGGTGAGTTTAGTAATTCCAGACACAATTTTTCATTTTTTCTCCAACAGTAATCAACTTCTACTGAAATTATACTTTCTGATTCAAATGTATAAATCTGTGCATTTTTGTTGTCCAGAACCACCTTTTTGTAAACCACTGACTTAGAGAATTTCTGTGTTTAGAACCACCTGTAAAATACAAGAGGTGTACAATTTCTAGAGAAAGTATGCTAATGGCTATGTTCTCAGCAGGTTATTTTAAACTCATAATCATGCAAAGGAAATGGTGTTAGGATACTAAGGTTGTGAGAAGAGGCCTACTTAAATCATAAGGTAACTGAAGAATTTTATACAACTACATTGGAAAGTGGCAAAAACCAACTCCTTCAGTAATAAATTTTGTCAGGTTTAAAATTTGGTATTTAACTTTTGTAGAGCATGAAACTCAAATAATGGATAGAAGTCACATTTAACTGCACTAGCACAAGAGATCTCTGCAGTGAAAGAGAAGAACAAAAATCATGAAAACTCTACAAATGAACTAGCTAAGCAGGCTTGAGCAATTATCTTCAGTTTTGTTATTTGTAAAATAGACAATAGTAATAATCCCCATTTTTTTGGATTGTTATAAAAGGGACATTTATATAAAATAGCTAAGAACAGTTCTTGGCACATAGTAAATGCACTTAACAAATGAAAGCTATTATTTTTCCCAAGACTACATATACATATATCTGCTATATAATTTGCCTAACTATCCAGTTAATTTCTCAGATCTTTCTCCTTCCTATTCAGTCACATGAATAGAGAGGAAGTATAATGTCCAGCGTCTATATGCAAGAGATGTATACTTAAGCAATAAAAGTTCCATGCGAAGGGGCTGAGGATCTAGCTTCACAATACAAGTGCCTGCCTGGCAAGTGCAAGGTCCTGAGTTCGATATCCGGCACCAAAAAAAAAAAAATTCCATGTGATAGATAGCCATACTAATCCCTTCTGATGTTTCATGGTCATATTTTTTAATTTGATTCATGACTACTTACAATACAGTTTAATATGCGATTATAAGCTCTTCTATTCGCTACATGTGTTACTTGTGCCCCTTTTTTGCCTGAACTGCATTAAGGTTTTTCTAAAAAGGTTTTAGAATGCGGGAATCAAAGGAGATCTAGACCATCAATATCTTTTATAGTATTAATGTACAGTATTAACATAAATTAAACTTGTAGTGACAATTCCAGGGAAAACAGTACGCTGACTAAACCTGCCAGGCTACACCACGTAGATACAGTCTGTAAAACCTAAGCTGTGGGAAATGCTACAAAACAAATATTTCACTTTCTTTGAAACGGAAATTGGAAGCAAAAGAAAAAATAAAAAAGGATTGAGGGTGAGCCTATAGATTAAAAAGGATTTAAAGATATTTCTGTAAAAAAAAAAAAAAGGTTAAGCAATGTTCACTGTCTAGAGATGTGCAACTCGGTGAGAAAAGTATCCAAAAAAAAGGTAAATTATCATAAGTCATTTTAGGAGTTTTTGAGGGAGGGGATTCTGAGTGTGAAGGACCTAATGGAAAATACCTGTTGTGACTACCGACTTGGGTGGGGGGCGTGAGGAGTGACGGCTGTTTAACAGACCCTATTAACTAACATATACATGCAGTTCTGTTTATTTGTGCTTAACAATAAAGCATTTCTTAGAATTCTTTTGTCAAAGGCAAGGATGCTGACAGTTGTGTTTTAGATCTAGATGTCCCAGAGCCGGGGATATAGCTTAGCGGCACAGCGCCTGCCTGTCAAGCACAAGGTCGTGAGTTCGATGCCTGGCACCAAAAAAAAAAAATCTAGATGTCCCCTTCAAGCGTCAGGCAATCATAGCACGATGACCAAAAGTGATTGGATTACAGGGGCACTGTAGCAGACTGCTCTTGGGAGGAGGGGTCTGGGCAGAAGAGGCACGTCACTGGGGGTGTGGCTTAGAAGGGGCGTGACCTAGAAGGGTTTCTCTCACTCTCCAGGGCCTCCCTTCACTCTCCCTCTGCGTCCCGTCTGCCAGGCCTTGCGCAGCCCTCCTTGGCTGGGACTCTTCCAGCGAGCAGACTGTAGCCTAAAACACGAGCCAGAATTTCCCGGCAGGAAGAAAGTGACAAGACACTGACCAGGATCTTTTCGATGTGGTCGTCCAACGAGTCGATGAGCAAGTCTCCCACGGGCTTCCAGCCGTGGCGCACCGCCTCCGCCTCCTTCAAGTCGGCGTCCAGGTCATCCATGGCGCCCTGCAGGTCCCGGAGTTTCTCCAACGCCTTGTCCACTTGCTTTTGCCAACTGCTTGTCACTGCATTGAGGCTTTCCCACTTCTCTCTGACCTCAGAAGACTGTTTGCGCATGGCCTTGGCGATCCTTTGGGCCCTCTCTTCAGGAGTCAATTCTGTGATTTAAAAATGAATGAATGGATCAAACTGCTTGCGTGGCTGACCAGTTGTACACTCTACATAGCCAAGTGTGAATATCAGCTTGGAAAGGGTTACTGCCAGATGCACAGAGATACAGTGACAATGGTCAGAAAAAGGAAAATTCTCTCCACACTCAACCAGTAATTCACAGCTACACATAAACATACACTCAAAAGAAGAAACAGCTACTCTGATTAATAAATAGCCTAGCATCTCCCCTGAGTTCTGAATTTTAATGTATCTATAAACCTTGAAATGTAACAAGATAACTCAAATAAATCCATTTTTCTTTACCATAAATTTAGTTACCTGAGATCCAAAGACAGTTTTTCATTTCACTGTTTTCAAGAGAAATTGGAAGTACAATTAACAGAGAGTGGCTGTAAGTTATAAAGAAATGCTCTCAGAAAATAAGATTAATTTATTGTATTTCTAAAAAGAATTAACTGAAGACAAATCATGTATCTTAGATACCCTACCATCCTTAAGTCTGTTTGGCGGTTCATTTTTAATAAAGGGCATTTTCGGCAGACCAAAAGTATGAAATACCCACAAACAGTTCAACAGGAAGACAACAAGATTATACAGACCATTTTAACTATGTAATCGATCAAGAGGGCTTCCAGAGTGTCAAAATTAAACTTAGACTTCCAGGCAGAAAGGGCAGGCAAAATGCAAGGCCAGCCCATAAGACACAGGTGGAAAGAGTAAAAATCCAAAAAGTTAGCGAAAGATAGAGAAATCAAAGTCAAGTCCAAGGCCAAAGGTCAGAAACATAGAAGTGAAGAACTGACCAGACAAGAGGGGAAGACTGCACCAAGGCATCACTCTCAAAACAGGCTAGAAAGGTGTCCACTACAGACATTCCTCATCTAAAGACCAAGTTCCAGTCCTGCCACTAAGTTGTTAACTGAGTTGATCGCTAAATGAAGACCTGCTTATAGTATGTACATTATAAGAAGTCAGAACAAAGAAATGGTCAAAGGAGACTTCAACTTGATGTCTTTGCTTTTATTTACATAACTCTTACTACTGTAAGAGTGTGTGATGTATAACAGAACATAAAGCTACTGTACTGTACAATCAGCAAAAATTACAGTACTGTATAAACCAGGTATTCTGTACAAGATGTGTAGAACTGTACCAAAAAAAAAAAAAAGATGGGCCATAAGTCCAAGGGGCAGGTTTTAAGTCCAAACAATCATTAAACAGGTATTAAAGGAATACTTATATAGATAAACACCCCCCCCCAGGGCCTCGGCACCCTCTACACCTGAAGATGCTTTTCCTATGTAGCTGGTTTGACAGTATCACCCTCAGTGTCTACTGGAAACACAGGCAGGTCAGAAATACAATCCAGGTAAAGTGTACATGAATTTAAGATGAATGCATACAGATTCTTACTGACTTATGATAAGGTTTTATCTCATTAAACCCATCCTCAACTGAAAATACAACAAATCGAAAAGATATTTAAGAGGCATACTTGATATTATAGCTTAGCTTAGCCTACTGTGTGCTCAGAACATTTACAATGGCCTTTGACCAGGCAAAATTATCTAACATAAAACCTATTTTACAATGAAGTCAATACCTCAGGTAGTTTATTGAATATTATACTGAAAGTAAAAACCACAACAGTTGTATGGGTGTTGAAAAGTTGAAAAAAAACAAAAACCTTAAAATGAACCATTTTAAGTTGGATATCATTGTGTATTTTTCAAAGTAACATCTCATCTTTTACTATCTATCACATTAGCAATTTCTGCTTCACTTCAAAATGCTGCAAAATCACTGGTAAAATAAAGCCAAAGTTCAGGATAAACAGACCTTCATCATAAACCGAACCAGAAGCAGTACACCTGACCAATACCTTTCATCCTCAACATAAATTTACCTACCTACCTTTATCTGAATACTATTTAAAGACCACATATAATGTCAATCTAAATTTCCACAAAGTTCTAGACATCGATATTTAGATTTAAAAGCAGCTTAACTGCAATAAATCTATGAGAACCTAAGAGACTGTGAAGACTTCAATAACTCCAGCACTGTGAATTGTGTTGCTTACTTGCTGAGAAGCTACTTGAAGAATCCCTTGGCAATTGAATTGAGGAAACAAAGAGAAAGCCTCACAGTTAGAGGAGAGGCCCAAATGTACCAGTGGACGTAAGAAAGGAAAGTAAGTGAATTACAAAACAAAAGTCAAGCAACAATCAGGCGAAGAAGCCAAGAAAGTTGGAGAAAAGACCTAACACGGGCCACACCTCAGAACTCCTAGGTTCCCGAGGAAAACCTTTCTGAAGAAAGGCCTGCCATCCAAAAGGCAAACCTTCGATTCTTATCCCTTCAAGATATCCATAAATATTTTAGGTTTTTTACATATTTTAGATTTTTAAATAAATAGAAAATGCTGTGTGAGAGATGACGAAGTCCTTCCTAGCAGCCTCATGAAAGATGAAGGGGGCAAGTTTTCTGACAGCAACACCTGTGTTAGTTAATAAGTCCCTCTGGCTTTTTCAAGAAATGTATTTTCAGCCCTCGAGTTTCACTGACTATTGTGTAAAAAAAAAAAAAAAATTCTACTAATTTCAGAAGCGACAACTTAATTATGATGATTTTCCTCAGATAAAGTAAAAGCTGTTTCTGAGTCAGTCATTAAATAACCCCTCTCAGAGAAAGACACGGGCTTCTTTGTCTTGTGACAAAATATCTTGCATTGGCTGTGACTTTTTTTTTTGTCTTCGCTTAATGTAAAATCTTTTGATTGTGCAGCCCTTTTGTGTTTATTATGCAATCTCCACTCAAGTAGCTGCTCAGAAGGAAAGCAAAGCTCCACATTCAGTTCCCCATCTGCTTGCCAGAGAGGAAACATTGAATAATCACTTCTAAGTCAGAATAAAAGTATATCCTGTGGCAGCAACTTTAGCCAAGGAGAGAGCAACGTGAAAAATGAAACTCAAACTTTCCAAAACATTTGTGAAACTGTCAGAAGAAGCAATGTGGGAACTATCAATTTGGGGTGAAAAAAAATTTTAAACTAGTATTTCAAAAAGGCAGAAAAACTGAAATAAAGGGAATTGACTGTATTCTTTTTTAAATAAATCCTCTCATTTGAAAATGAAAGGACAAATGTTCCTTTAAAATTTCTAAATATTTTAGCTGAGTGCTATGGTGCACAGCTATAATCCCAGTACTCTGGGAGGCTGAGGCAGGAGGCTCATAGCCTTGTCTTGGGCAATTTAGGGATTTAACAAGACTGTGTGTCAAAATAAAAAATAAGAAAGGGGTTGGGGATATAGCTGAGTGGGAAGGTCCTGGGTTCAATTCCCAGTATATGCAAAGAGTGGAAAATTTTCTCAACCAGTGTTTCTGAAGCTTGGTATCACAGAAGAAACCACCCTGAGAGTTAGTCAGCTAATTAGTTTGTGAAAGCTGGTGCTCAAGTCCCTACCACAGAAGACACTAATTTAACCGGTCCGGGTGAGGCCTAAGGATGGAAGTCACAGCTTCTCGAGTGGTTCCGCATGCAGTCAGGAGCGAGCCCACTGGAACAGAAACTGGTGTTTATATTCCAAAGCTCACTGGGCATTTCCACTCTGGAGCGTCACCCTGTCAACCCCAGGCAGTGCCACTGAACACAGGATGCCAGGGAGCAAAGGAAGCTCAGAGATAAGAGCAAAGGCAATTTGCATTTGAGAAGCCAATGAAACTGGTCCTCCAGGCAGAGGAGGCAGCCAGATGAAGCAGAATCAATTCACTGACCATTCTGAGGTCCAGGGCTTGTCCTATGTCACATTCCAAAGAGTGCGTGTGCACGCGCGTGTGTGCGCGTGTGCGGGTCTGTGCATGTGCAAAGGCATCTGCTCAATCGCTCTTCAGTCTCCTTCCCTTCAGGTCTTTCCACTTAAATGGCCAAACTCCGAGGGTGGAATATATTTGATTTCTATTATTTACTTTTGGATTCATTCATTTATATATCATCTATTATAAATGCTAAACATCACATTTACTTTGCTTCTATATTATACATAAGTAGCAATGTCTTCATTATGTTGCAAAGATCTTTCAGGAGGAACAGACAAGTAACAGAGGAAGAAGAAAATCAGAAACGAAAGCTCCATCCTGAGTTTCTCTCCTGTCCCATGAGGTGTACAATGTGTAGACTAACTGTATGGCATTATTCCAGCTCTCTTTTACACCTTGGGGAGAGAGGCTGGAATATGCTTCCCTGGAGCACAGGTACAAACAACCTGGCCCAGAGCCCAGGAGTGGAGACCAATGTGGGAATCCGTGGACGCCTACATGGTTTGCCGCTCCCAGGCTAGCCTCCAGGCTTGCTCAGCTCCGCCATATCAAGTGCAATTCCTGTTTCCATGCTAGGGACATTTTACTCCAAGAATCCACTTTACCTCTAGACTCAATCATGTAAGAAAAGCAGAATCTCTGTATAGCTCAAAGAAATTTTAGGCTCCTTGAAAGGCTGAGGCAGCAGGGTTGCAAGTTTGAAGCCAGCCTGGACAACTTAGGGAGGCTCTGCCTCAAAATAAAAAAAAAAAATAAAAAGGGCTAGGGAATGTAACTGAATGGGCCAGCACTCCTCAGGACTGAAGAAGAAAGAAAAACAAAGACAAAGAAAACTGGAAAAAAAAGAAAGAAATTTTAATAGTAGACCACAGAAAAATCTCCTTTGGTGTGCTTGTGCAAAGAAGTTTTAAAGTGTTTTTGAATGCAAATAAGGGTACATCTCCATTTGGACCATTCCGGTATTGTTTTTAATAAAGATTTCCACTCTTTGTTGTGTTTTTTTCTCAATTGTGGTACTGACACTTAGAACCACCACTGTGATTTTCCCCGCTTCATTTCTAAAGCTGTATTTCATTCATGTTTCCTTTCTTTCCATCTTGAATATTGCAGTAATAGCAGTAGAGATTTGTGAGTCTGCTATGTAATTACTGAACTGAATGGAAAT